GCTGTATGGCAGCTCTCGAAATTTTAATAAAAGAACGCGAATGAGCCTGCACCGAGCACCCTTTTTGAATAAACGAACGGTAAATTCAAGCTCGGAGAACTGATCAAAATACCGAGCGCATGGACTGTTTCCTGCCGCTTGAATTTGGTTTAACCATGTTTCAAAAAAACGAACACGAGAAAACAGCCAAAGGGGCGAGATTCTCGTCTCAGGACTCTCAGGGCCGGTTTCTCAATAGCAGGTCACCCCGGGGTTAAGCATAACTACTCCGGGGTGAACATAGCAACTGAACACGCTTACCCTGGAGCTAAAACCAACACGGAGGTGACTCGCTATCGAGAAACCGAATTGCTGTCTTATTTTTGATTGGTTCTAAAATCCCATATATTTATATTGAAAACGCGGCCCTCTTGTTCCCACGTATTGCTTATTTCAAATATGAATATATGGGATTTGGGTGAACATGGATAATAAAACATGGAAAACAACGTATTATGGACCTAATTATAGTCATATACGTCGATTTCAATTTTTTATGATAGATGTCCATTTAAATCCTATATAATAATATTTAAAAGTAACAAGAGGTTGGGAACAAAATGGCGGCGGGACCTCTATTGTCGCCACTGTATGTAGAGGTTTATTTAGCCACTGTAGTCTAAAGAGCTTTTTGGAACATACCGGAACATACCTAAGGTTTGTTTCGCCAGGGTTTGTACTTGCCACCAGCATTTACCTTCCTTGTTTAACAAATAAAAATTGACTGAAATAAATCACTGACGTCAAAAACGTTTGTCGGTTCTTAACCAAAAGTCATTCATTTTAATTTGTCAAAAAAATTGCATGTATCATATGAATCGATCTACGATAACCCTTTTTTTTCAAGTTTCAAGGTCAAGTATGAACCCTGGTGAAACAGTCTGAGGGTGAAACGGACTTTACTTGTTTGTGCCTATTCAATACAAAATCGGTATTTTTCAAAATTTTCCATAATTTGTGCAGGTGCAAACCTTGAGATCAAAAATTCCTTTAGGAAAATGTGCGGTGAACGCTATTGAATTTATATGAAATTTCTGTTCTCACAGAAATCACAAACTAGTCAGAGCGTTTTTTATTGATGCAAATCGCGAACAACCGTTCTCATAGGTTTGAGATTTCTGTGAGAACAGACCTGAAATCTACGATCATTTCTGTGACAAACCAGTTAATTAGTTGTCTGGTAGGTAATGGATAACTTGATGACGAATCTGGGGTGCCTTATGGAGATTTGCATTATGTTGAGCCACCCTAGATAACTTCATAAAGTAATCAGGCAAATAACCTTGTGACTGACAAACCCACCCTTTTTTCTATGTTATGACGTCATCGATGACATAAGTACACTTGGCCAATCATAAAACTGAGGTGTTTTCTCGCGTCTCAAAGTTTTGGAACATTTTTCCGAACTGGTTTAAAATAGTTTCACAATGACGTCATAATTTATCGGTGCGAGAAAATGGTTTAAAAACGTGGATTGGATTGTATTTCGAAACGGTTTGAACCAACTTTGTGTGACGTCATGGGTTCATCGCGAGAATATAGTATTTCAAACCTGTTTTGACCCAGTTTCAAAAAAGTGAACGCGAGAAAATAGTTTTGCATGCATTTTCCTATTGTGTTGTGTGTGAATCGACCTTTTTTATCACCTCAAAAATTAAAAAAGAAGTCATAGGTGTCAAGGTTATTTGCGAGAGGCGGTTGCCTAGGTAACTGGATGACGTCATCTAAGGTACCCCGGATGCGTCATCAAGTTACCCATTACCAGATAACCTATCAACTTTAGGAGACTTGAGTCAGTGTCATATTCAAAGAACTGGGCTGGGATCACGACAACTAGAATTCCACTTTCATGACGTCACCCGCGACCTATTTATCGCATACAGGGTGATGATGACGGTTGCTAGGCAACTTGACGTCATGAAAGTAGAATTCTACTTGTCGTGATCCCAGCCCAGGTTACTGGTTGAATTGTTATTGATAGTTGAATTCAATGATCTACTAAGGGCCGGTATTATAAAGTCCAGTTGACCGAAGCGAAGGTTGAATTTCAAGCAACGGTTGAACTGAAATGTCTCTTTAAAATCATACAAAAATGTCAGTTCAAAGTCGGTTGAAAGATAATTTTTGGTCAACGCTTTATATTAGGTTTATTCCAACGTCCAACACGTCAAAAACCATCCCACGAACGGTTTCCAAACCACTCTGTATACGAATATCGGGTTCTGCGCAGACATTTTTGGCTTTGCGCAGAATCGTGATGGTACCATCGTCACCAAAAGTATCTGGGACACAAATAATGCATAATAATCTCCTGGACTAATTCTACTGTCATTCATTTCAATGCATTTAAATTATAGTTTGACAAATATTTGACAATAAAATTCATATAATAGGACAAGAGCTAATGTGCTGCTGTCCCAGTTACTTTTGGTGACGATGGTACATTGTACGGTTTTTTTGGTGTGTTGGAACAAAGCTAATACCAGCCCAAATGGCTGTTTCCACCAACTATTTTAGGGGAGCCTTAACGATAAGTATTCCCTAAAATGACATTTTTACATGGAGAAATATCAGTTTAGGGAATACTTATCGCCAAGGCTCCCCTAAAATAGTTGGTGGGAACGGCCATGAGCAGATCATTGGTTGATTTCCACATTTGTTTCAGCTTTGACATTGACAAAAATTTTCTTTTTTCAGGAGATACTTTTTATTGTTAAGCCAGACTCACATTACGCAAATTTGAAAAACACATGCCTGTATCAGTTTTATAATGGGCCAACTTTACAAGTAGTTAGGGAGGCGACCGCATTTTTCCTACCCCGATCGAGTTATGTGTCGACACTATTATCAATATATAGTATTATGTGCATCTATTAACCGGTATTCCTGCCTGAGAGCAAATGCTGCCGGAAATATCTTTTAACAAATTATTAACAAATTGAAAAAAACGTAACACTACCCCCATCGAGTTATTCCCTAAGTAGGGTATCAGATAAAAGATCTCGATGTCCTTCATCTAAAAAGTCGATCCTGCCTCGTGAGAACTTGCCGGAAAAAGGTGACAGGGCAGCTTATTGGGGCAAGGGCCCGTGGTCTCAGCTTTGGCACCTATCAACTTTTGCCCTGAATGATGTGTCAAATTAAGGTGTCAATAATAGTTGACTTAAGGTCTCTTCGCACAGAAATCCCAAACTAGAAGGAGTGAATTTCATTGGTTGAAACTAGTTTCCTAACTGTTTTTAACCAATGAAATTCGCTCTAACTGGTTTGTGATTTCTGTGCGAACACCTTAAATCAACTTCTTTGACACCTTTAATTTGACAGACACATCATTCAGTGCAAAACTTGATAGGTGTCAAAGCTGAAACCGCGGGCCCTTGCCGCAATAAGCTGCCCTGCCACCTTTTTCCGGCAAGTTCTCACGAGGCAGGATCGACTGTTTAGATAGGGGACATCGAGACCTTCAATTTGATACCCTACTTAGGGCATAACTCGATGGGGGTAGTGTTACGTTTTTTTCAATTTGTTAAATGATATTTTCCTACGAGCGTGCCGAAAAGTTACTTTTCCGCACGATTTTTCGTTTTGAAAGTTGTACTTTTCCGCACTATTTTTAATTTTACTGTGTACCCATACATATTAAAGTTCGGCGGCCCCCTATTTGGGGGAACAGTCCCGCGGGGGCCCCATTTTTGAGGGGCACAGTCCCGCAGTGGTCCCTTTTTGGGGGCGGAGCCTTGGGTGGCCCTTTTGGGAGGGCGGAGCCCTGGGGGCCTTTTTGGGGGGCGAAGCTCCTTAATTGAAGGGCGGAGCCCCGCGGGAGCCCCTCATTTGAGGGCACAGCCCCGCAGGGCCCCCTATTTTAGGTGGCATAGCCCCGCGAGGGTGGGGGATCCTAACAATTTTTTTGGCCAATTTAGATATAGGCCCAAGGATCATGATTTTTTTTATTTCTAAAAATGAAGATATTTAGGATCAAATAAATGATTTGTTATATGTTATTTTATATTATGTGCTCTTTTGTACCATCATTATAAAATCTTTGCGTATTGGAAACATTTTTTTTGATAAATAAGATGGACAAAAACACTCGTAGGAAAAATATTGTACCTAACTCTTGCTGAAAATGTCTTTTCCACCCTCGACGGCTTGCCCGAACTCCGCTCCGCGTCGTTCGTGCAACTGCCATCTCGTGCGGAAAAGTACCACTTAGCTAAATAACTATTCCGGCAGCATTTGCTCTCAGGCAAGAATACCGGTTAATAGATGCACATAATACGATATATTGATAATAGTATCGGCACATAACTCGATCGGGGTAGAAAAAACGCGGTCGTCTCCCAGACTAAAGCCTTCATAAAACGAACGATTTTTTACCATCACATGCCGTCACACACTGCCTTGCATAAATCATAAGCTTCAACGAAATGATCACAGGTTGATGGTTGTATTAAATTTCACCGATAGTATGGCAAACAAATTTCCAATGAAGTGTATTTTTTCCCAAGATAGATTTTTGAAACATATACAATGCCGCTTATTGGTCGCAACCACTGGCGTAGCCAGGGGGGGGGCAAGAGGGCATTTGCCCCCCCCAAGACCCTTACATTTTATGAATATTTCTTCAAAATTAAGATAAACAGTCCCAAAAATAGCGTAAAGAAACCTGAAAAAGGGGCGTGGCACCCAAAAATTTCGCTAAGCCTCCGGCAGCGGTCGCGGTAGGGCCGCAAAAGACGCTTCCTGCAAATTTGCCCCCCCCAAGACAAAATCCTGGCTACGCCACTGGTCGCAACATACCTTTTCCTGTCTGCTGTATTGTATAGCGTAGGTTTTTATTTTTACTAATAATGCTTCGATTTGATTTAGCAGAGGTCACACTTGATATAATATTTTAATTTATTTTTTGTAATTATTGCAAAAGACGATATCAGCAAATAAAATTGAAATCCTTCCAATGATTAATCCACACATTCAACCATTTTCTTCTTTCTACGAGGCTTTCCTTCTGTTTTTTCATTGATTCCTACTATTTCGACTGATTCCTCCTTGGACTTCTTTTTCTTTCTTTTTTCTACATTTGTTGAGACTTCCAAAAGTCTATCTTCTGTGGGATTTTTGTTCTTTTTCTTTTTTTTTCTCTCAGGCTCATCACAAACATCTCCAGTGCTGGCTGCTACTTCAATCTGAGTCTCTTCTTCCAAATGTTTATGTTTCTTCTTTTTGCTTTTTTTACTAGCAACAGTGGATTGAGGAACAAATGTTACACATTCATCTGTACCTATATCCTTATGTTTTTTCTTTTTATGCTTTTTAATGCTGACTTCTTCAGTTATTGTGGATTCATCAAAAATACTTTCTCGACTATCTGGAGCCACTTCATTGGAGACTTCTTTTTCAGGTCCAATTTTGTCTTTGATGGGGTTTTCAATTATTTTGTTATTTATTTCATTTGCAGCAATGCAATCTGTATCTTCAATCATATTACTAGTATTATAACTTTCTCGATATTTTCTCTCCTTCCTATTTTCATTTTGCTCAATTTTTTTTCTGTACTGCAAGACTCTTCCATTATAAAATTCATTATTTTCTCCTTCCTCCAGTCTTTCAAAGACAGCAACAAAAAATCCATTTGTCAAGTCCACTTCGGGTCGGGCATATAAAGTATATTGTCCAATTTTGCTAAAATCTGATGATCCGTAGTTAATCCACTGGTTATTCACAAAATATATTGCGGGAATCAACTTAAATTGATTATTCGTTTCCAAGACTTGTCTTACGACATCTTCATTTTCTTCTGGATTGAGAGAACATGTTGAGTATACAATTTTTTTCGCATTTGGGTATCGAGTTAGGGCACTGCGTAGAATTTTAATTTGGAAGCCAGCTAGTTTTTGGAGCCTGAGATTGTCAGGGGTTTTGTTGATTTCCAAACGATTTATCATACCTGAAAATAAAACAGAATTATTTATAGATATGTATGTACATCATTTTCTTGTTATTAATCAATCAACCATTTTCCCTAATATTCATGCTAGAGAAAACACTAATATTTTTGCACAAGGCAGGCACTCAATCAACTTATTGCACAACAAAATTCAAGTAGTTATTATTAGGTACCTGATCCAGAACAACTAGGGTCCACTGTTATGTATTCAACATTAGAAAATTCAGGCACATTACATTGTAATACATCTTCATTTATTGCATTAACACATGTTGCTCCTACAATAATTAATAATTTTGAATAAATATCTTCAAAAAATGTCAACCATATAAAATCATACCTGATACTTCCACCATTTTCTTCAATATTTCAAACCGTTTCGGATCTCTTTCAACTGCATAGACTATCCCATTATCTTGTAAAGTGGCTGCCAATTGTGTAGTCTTCATCCCTGGTGCTGCACACATGTCGAGCACAACACTTCCTGGGGGAGGCGATAAAATGTGCACTGGAAGACAACTTGCCTGAAATATTTGATGTTTATATAAGTAAGGTGTTTAAACCAGGAAGCCTAAGTGCCGGTACTTTTGCTCTCATTTGACAGCCGTTAAAAATAATCAGGGCTTTGAATGTGCTCTAACCACATCATACTTATATAGACCTTGGCCCATGCAAAACTTTGACAACGTATCAAATTCGTTGATCGAGAGCAAAAGTATCGACCCTAAGTCATAGTCCAGGAGGTGGCGCCAAAAACATGCAAGAGTTTTCGCAAGGCGGATATTTTCAAAATAGGTCGTACTTTAGTGTTAGAATGCTAGTGTACAGTCAGCACTCACAGTTCCGGGACAGCTGGCTCTGGGACGCGGGCAAAGTTGTAATTTTAAGAAGCATCTAAACTGTTTTCTCAAAGCTCAAAATTTATAGAAATTTTGCACATTATCTGTTTGAAGGTCACAGATAACGTATGTAAATCGTCAGACGTCTAGTTCGTTGCAAAAAGGGGGTCAGACGTCCTCAAAGTTCTTATTTTATGGCATTTTCTTCAAATATATTTGTCAAATACCTGCAAAAATGTATTTTGACAGGACACCGAAGAAAATGCCATAAAATAAAAACTTTGAGGACGTCTGACCCCCTTTTTGCAACGAACTAGACGTCTGACGATTTACATACGTTATCTGTGACCTTCAAACAGATAATGTGCAAAATTTCTATAAATTTTGAGCTTTGAGAAAACAGTTTAGATGCTTCTTAAAATTACAACTTTGCCCGCGTCCCAGAGCCAGCTGTCCCGGAACTGTGAGTGCTGACTGTACACTAGCATTCTAACACTAAAGTACGACCTATTTTGAAAATATCAGCCTTGCGAAAACTCTTGCATGTTTTTGACGCCAGCTCCCCAACTATCAGTATGTTCTACTTTTAACCAATTCAACTTTGGAAAGCCCTTGAAAATAAAACAAAAAAATATATTGAATGTTTAAAGCTTATCAAAAACAAAGATAAAGGTAGTTGTGTTGCACAAATTATCTGGAATATATGGTGTACTTACCTTATCCTGAAGAATAATCACTCCTTTTTTGTACCCTGGATGATTATAAAATTCCGTGCCTCCAGGAAATACCAATAGTTCTGGTACATGGAAATCTCTTAGAAAACAGTTGTCTTCTAAGTTTTCCACTTGTTCCAAAAAGCTTGTGTAGGTATTTTCTTTGCTCGGATGTATCAATGTCCAACCCTCTTCTTGGAAGAGCTCTAGAGCCTCATTCATTGAATTAATTAAGGTGTTTATGCGTATATATCTTGGTTTTCCACGTGTGAGGTGTTTATCTTCTAAAAACAAATCAAAAATAGAAAATCACCTCCAATTTAAATAAAATTTTACCTTTTTGCTTTTTTTGGGAATTTTTAAATAAAAACAAAATACATTTTATACTACTGAAATGTTTTTCTTAAGTTTACACAATTAATTGAAATTTATGTTTAAATAGATTAAAACTACATATTATTACAATACTCTCGACAATACTCTAGTCTTCTTTGAGTTCTATTTGGGTTTTAGATCTCACAGAGTCTTCTGGTATAAGATTTCCCTGAGCATCATACTCAGGTTCCTTATATGCTATATAACAATAAATGCCAATGATTATATTAACACTAACTACTGATAAAAAGACTGAAATTGCATTGGCTTGGAAAAGTTCCAAGTGGAAATATTCCAATAAATAGTGCTTAGAACCAAAAAATACTACAAAAGGAATGCTGAACATAAGAGCACTGAAGAATAGAAGCATCGCTAATGCTTTAGCAGCCAGGCGAGTCTGTTGTGGCAACCAATCTGAAGTTTCTTGTATAGTTTGGGAAATATTTTCCCCATTCTTAGGAATTCTTTGGGTCAAATTTTGGATTTCCATTTACTGAAAAACAAAATAAAATAAATAATTTACCTGTATAATTGTTATCCTTAAAGGTGTCGCTGAGGTGTGCCCGGAAAGCCTGTTCATAAGACAATATAGTTTGAATTGGTTTTGCACCACTATTAGGTAGCTGTCCTTTTCCCCACATTAATTCCGATATCAAAATTTTTGCCAGCCAGCTATCTAAGCGTGTTTCGATATCCAGCAATTTGGTTCTCTTTAAAAGTAAATCTATTTCATTTGATTTTTGAAAAGAAGTTGCTACAAGGGCGTACAGAGCTTTTGTGTTCTAAAAAAATAAAATTGAAGATGAGGAACGATATGTGGGATAGACATTATTATAGAAACTCCACTATGAATATTAGAATTTTGAAATATGCTGTTAAAAGCCCCATATTATACTACTTACAAAATGTGTCTTTTCGTAAACCAATTGCTTTATACTTCCGGCACCCTCAGCGACATCCTGAGCTATTTTGGCTGCACATTTATAAAGCTTGGGCACTTTTACTGAATGGTTAAACGTGCTTTTTTGCCCTTTATTCATTTTATTTACCTTTTTTTTGGTGGGGCCTTCCTTGGAAAAACTTAACCAAAAAAAATTTACCAAAACGAAAACATGAGATCAATCATGACATTCGACAGTTGACAGCAAATTGTCTCCCTCTCACCCTTTTAGCCGCTTTCCAGAGGTGCTTTCCAGTGACCCATTTGAGTTACTCCTGAGCAGCTCAGGAGTGCTCCACAATTGCTTTGCGCGTTCCAGTGCTTAGAGTGTCGTACACTTGAGCTACTAATTTCTGTTATCCCCTGCCCCCTCGTGCAACAACCCATTTGTCTGTGTTTCATGCTCCTGAAATCCGAAATGGTGGGGGGTTAAGACGAGAGCGTTCCAGTGCTGCTTATGTCGAACAGTTCAAGAGCGTCACACTTCAGGAGCATGATACTCTAACAATTTAGGCACTGGAAAGCGGCTCAGCAGTATGCACATTGGCGCGCTCTGGCGCGCTCCAGAGCACCTCGGGGGCGCCACGCACTAGATTTGTACCGTTCCAGGTTCCAGTATCATGGCGTGAGACGCCTGTGTTAGTGTCAAATATGTCAAATTTTAAAAATAATTATCTGTTTGTTTGTGCAGTTTATTTTTTTAATTTATCATAAATGAAAGAGAATCAAAACTATATATTTTAAAATGTTCAATCTTGAGATATAACAAGAAATAAATAGCTTATCCAATCCCTTATCTCTAAGGTGCTTTCCAGTGACCCATTTGAGTTACTCCTGGGCTGCGTTCAGATTGAACGTCGGGTGTCGCCCGAGCGCGTTCTGACCGTTCAGATTGCTTTGGGTAAAATTTACCCAGCCGTTCAGATTGTCAGTAGATTTTTACCGGACGACGCCCGGACGCACACTTTTGCGTCCCATAAAATAGCAAGATAAAATTTGCCCCGCATGCGCGTTTATGTTCTAACCTTAAATAATAAAGGCAAATATTAAATATTGTAAATAATTATTTTTGCGAGTTATGGTGGGTTTATCCAAATTCTTCGTTATCCTCATCAACTCTATTTAAAAAAAAAGTGGCCTCTTTTTTTTTGTTTAGTTTGTGATGCTAAATTGATAGCAATCACTGACACTAGCACATCCTCGTGGTCCGAAGATGAAGCGTCCTCATCATTAAATAACTCTTTAAATATGAAGGAAGATACTATGGCTTCTTCCATAGTTAGTATTTATTTAAAAAATTTTGAAGAAAATGGCAAAAATGTTAGAATCAGTGAGGTTATAAAGAGAGAATGCGTCTTGGCCGTTCAGATTGGGCGAATCGCCGGGCACACTCGGAGTGCGCTCTCTATCGGGTGCGCTCTTCACTGGACGTCGTCCGGACTCTTCAATCTGAACGCGCCCCTGAGCAGCTCAGAAATCCGAAATGGTGGGGGTTAAGACGAGAGCGTTCCAGTGCTGCTTATGTCGAACAGTTCAAGAGCGTCACACTTCAGGAGCATGATACTCTAACAATTTAGGCACTGGAAAGCGGCTCTAGGTGGATTCGGAATAGCCCAGCGAGGCTGGAGTAGAGTTGGACTGGAGTTTTTATCACGTGACGGAAAAGCTTTTGGAGTGGATTAGTGAAACCGAACGATCAGGGTGCATTTGGAGTTTTTTTAACTTAACCTAGCCCTAATAACTCTTTTGACTCCCGCACGTATTTCCCGAACGCATGTGGAGTTAGTCTTTCAGCTCAAAATGAGAATACCCGAACGTATCGGGAGTGTTTATTGCACTTGGTGTTTATAGAACAGAACAGTCATCCCGAACCCACCATAGCCGCTTTCCAGTTACGAATTTAAAGGTGCTCGACACCTGTAGCTTCACACTCTAGTGCACCAAACAACTGTTGTGTCATTGGAACGCTCCCTACTTTAAGCGTCGTGAGAGTGGGCAGGGGAGAGGAAAAACGAACAGTTCAGTTGCACGAAACTCTAATGCACTGGAACCTATAAACAGTCCGGGGCGCTCTAAAGCAGCTCAGGAGTGCTTGAAGTGCGTCACGGCAACCAACGGAAAGCGACTCATCACTTACTGTATTCCTTTTATACATCGAGTTACACCGAATGAGCTCCTCGGAGTCACTCAAAAACACACAATTCAGATTTTACCATTATTTTTTTATATTAACATTACCGTCATCACCTAAAAGGGCTTCTTGCACCCCACGGAAATTCGATGCATCAGGGGAAATGGGGATGCACTATGAGCGACTCGAGTGCTTAACGCACTTTTAAAAGGTACGTTCAAGCTTTTGACATTGAGCAGCTCCGAGTAACTCAACGGGTAAAAGGAATACAGTAACTCATGAGCTGTTTTTCGCGTCATTGGTCGTGTCAGTGTCAAGTCTTCCTATCTTTTATTTTCGAGGTTATGGTTATGGATGCTTAAAAATAGTAAAAATAAGCAATAATTTATTTTTAATTTGTACATTACAGAAAGTAAAAAATTCACTGTCCAAGAACAATCCCGCAATGGCGAAAGAAGACAAACTCGACTGGATCTATAAAGGTGTCAAGGGTCTAGTAGACCGAGAAGAATATTTGCTGGGCAGAAAAGTTGACAAAACCTTGGAGCAGCTCAACGATGAAGAAAAGGAGAAGAAATTCGTCTTGCCTACGCCCAAAAATCATGTAGAACATGAATGTATACCTCCGTCAATTAGGGATTTTAATAAGATTGTACAAGCCGAGCAGGTAAGGATTTATTTATTATGGGATGAATGTGATTTGAATAGCAGCTTCTAAATGTATCGGAAGCAATAAACAAATCTAATAAGGGTCCAATGTAAGGGACCGACCTCAGAGGACCGACCATACTTATAGATACTAAAGACTATAAACAGTGTCATCACATTTGTTTTTTTGCTCCTGGATACTTAGAATATGTTTTGTAAGGCATTTAAGGTGTTACCTACTAATAAAATTAAGCTCAGACTCAATTTGAATTTGATCGGAGCTCTATTTGAAATACTCCTGCTTCTGCTCATATTGGTAGATGTTTTAGAATTTGCTCTAGTCTATATTAGGTAATCAAGCTATTGATGTGTAGATAGATAGGTAGATTCTTTATTCGATCATGAGAAAAACAAACATTATTACATATAACAATAATAATATCAAACCGAGTATCAAACATACAAACACAAAATATAAAAATATAAATAGTCACAAAAATTTCTTAAACTTACAACATACATAATACAAATAAACTTTAACAATTCAAAATGAACCATATATATGAAGAAATATGAATTTCCGGATGTCCTGAGCCCTCGAGAGCCTGCACTGAAAGGACCAGTGTGCTCTCCCATCTATGCCATTTGTCTGATTCGTCTGTGTTAGTTTAATAATGATTGCTCGTGTGTTTGATCTTGAGAAATTTTATTTCACCAACTTGTCAATTTGTGGATCAGTGAAAAACTCATCTAGACTGTAGTAAGTTTTTGTGTTCAAGAATGTTTTAATTTCTCTTTCGATAACCTGTGGCCATTGCCTTCGGAATGAAATGGGAAGAGCGTTTCAGAACCTCAAAATGCTATGCTTAACAGTCTTTGCAATGTATGAGTGATGAGCGGTTTCTGTTTTCAAGTTTTCTCTCAACCTAGTATCGTGACTGGTCTGCTTTTAATTGGTCAAAAATATCTGGGTTTTCTGATACAAATTTTATTCACTCTAAGATGTAGACTCGGATATATGTATTAAAAATTGTTTGCACACTACTCTCAATAAAAAGATTTCTTCAACTTTCTGTACTTTTTCTTTGATAAGTAGTCCTTAAGCACCTCTTTTAAAGCCTGAAAATTATTTGCGACTCCGAGACACTACCCCAAAAAATGACACCGTATCTCACCCTTGATTGGATGTAAGCTTGATAAGCTGTTAATGCTGCCGAGTAGCCTGCTGAGTCTCTGAGAACTAGAGATGCACTGAGTAGTCGGTTTGCCAAATATTTGGCCACTTTTGAGTAAATGCCGAATATTCGTTATTCGGCAACCAGTGACACACAAGTCGTCACGGAAATTCACATCAATAAGAATGAAATCGATTATTGCCAACTACCAACAAAGATAATGCAAACCCCAAACTAAATCAACCTTTAAAACAGAATAAAACCCATTGATAAAACCTAAGAAATGATGCAAGCAACAATACACATTAACCGAATATTAGGCCGTGGCGATTGGCCGAATCTCTACTGAGAACCCTTAGGGCATAACAGTATTTACTTGTGCTTGTTACAAGCTGGCCAATATGTGCACACCAGTCCAGCCTTTCATCCAGCACCACTCCGAGAAAGATAACATTTCCCTTTGTGGCAATTGTAGTGTCATTATAGTCAATCACTGTTTTTTCACGTTTTAAATTAAAGTTTATTAAATATTTGTGTTTTTGCCACATTGATTTGAAGATTGTTGCTTGTTAACCAATTTTGAAAAGCCTCAAGTGATTCGCGGACATTTGTGACACATTTGTTTTTAGTTTTGTTACAACAGAGCGCAGAAGTGTCGTCAGCAAAGAGTACCACCTTGTTTTCTAGTACATTTGCAACATCATTTGTATACTTATATTAAGTTAAGTAGTGATGGGCCCAGTATCGAGCCTTGGCATACGCCTCTGTTTATGTAGGCAAAATTTATTTTTTTTACCTCCCCTAGGCTATTTTCTGCCACGACACCCTGTTTTCTGTGATCCAAATATGACTCGAACAGTCTCAGTGATGTGACTTGTACTCTGATCCTCTCAAGCTTTCGACAGAGCAGGCTGAAGTCTACATTGTCGAAAGCCTTTGATAGTCTAGGAGGCAGTGACGATTTTCGGTACTCATTTTCCCAGTCAGACAACATGGATAGAATTCTAGGGTTAGTAATTCTAAGCAAAATTTATATATTTTTAGGGGGGGTTTTCCGATGGGTTGAGGCGCAGAATGCGTTAGAGCTTACAAATGCGGCCCTCTTTTTTTCCAGTGATAAAAAAAGCTCTACTAATGAGAAGTGTACTGAAGTTACTTAAAAAAATAGTCCGGCTAATCTGTGAGTATGGATAATAAGTCTGGCAAGTGAAAAATTGAAGATCCAAAAAATTTCAGCCAGACTCACTTTAATCTGAGATAAGCCAAATTGCTATTTTCATATACTTTATGTTCTATTGTAGTGAATGTGAGATATTTATGATTGGGAAAATAAGTGCACTTGTATTTTTCATTGATCTTGTGACCCCATCCGAAAATTTTTGCGAAACTCAAATATTCTTGTTTTGTATTACCAAGAGAACAACCTATTTAATATACGCCAACTGGGAAAATAAGTGCTAAAAAATGTCACTGCCCCCTGGACTATGAGAGGTCTAGACAGACAGCCGTAGTGACATTGTTCTTGTTGTGTGATTCCAAAATTCAATTAAGCCCTGTGTAGATAGCTCTTATAGTGGACCTTTTCCTCCGAAAACCATTCTGTTTTTCACTCAATAAGACATTTTTTTCCAAGAAGTTTAATATTCTTATAAAAATTTTACTAAAGTTGGATAACAAGAAAATTGGTCTGTAGTTTTTCAGCTCAGTGGGTACCTTTTTTTATGGATTGGTTTTAGCAGTGCAATTTTAAGATTAGCCGGCACGATGCCATTTTGCATCAAGAGATTTATCAGGTATGTTAATGGCTCTGCAAGTGAATTTGCGCAAGCTTTTATAATGCTAACAGGGATCTCATTATATCCGGTTGATTTTTTATTTTTAGATCTATGATTTTCAAGATTTCTAAAGCTGTCATAAGTTGGAGTTCAAGATTATTTTTACACCCAATGTCAGATTTATCTGTCTGGCTAATAATGCTCTCCGACATCACATCAGGGCTAGTGAATGCAATACCGGGATCCCGCATGCTATATGCGGGACTGATCTCGCTCATAAACTGAGCGGGATCCCGCCGGGATTTGCGGGATTGAAATGAACTGTACTTATAGTGTTACTCGGGCCTGGTACGCGCGAATTAGACGACAAATTGTGGTGGGGAGTCTGAGAGAAACTTTCTTGCCCTAATTCGAAGTTGTTTAATATTTTTTTAATTTTGGCACTTTTGTTCCAACTTTTGATAAGGACGTGTAGGGGTCGCAGTTCGCAGTGCAACAAATTCTTAATTGTGGTTAAGTAAACAAAATTTACACTTTTAAGTACATAGGTATGAGATGACATGAGAACCGTTCTAGAACGGTAATTTCCGGTTGATCAATTAATTTGTCAAGTAGGATAAACTCATTGAAAAATAGGTGGGCAACTGGAAATTACTGGTTCTGGAACGATTCTCATGTCGGTTGGAACAGAGCTACAATTTCCGACATATCGATAACTTGAAAAGGTGAATTTTGTTATTCTTCAGAATTTAAGTTGTGTAAATGAATAATCAAAACGACATGACGTTTGTGCAGTAATTTCCAAAATAATATTTAAATATCTTTGAAAAATATTATTGAATAATTTGATAAATACAAATTACAATAATGCAAAATACAGTATAAAATATAAAATAAAAATATATAGCAACAATTTAAAAAACTACAATAGAATATAAAATATAATAATATACATATATATGTCACTTGCGTCATTATCCTACATGTTCATTACATATTACATAATAAAAAACAAAAAAAATAAAAATCCTTAAAATGTGTATAGTAAACAACAAATATAATGATTTACGAACAACATGCAAGTCTTGAAAAACACAGAAATCAAAGATATACAAAATTCAACAAAAACAACAAAGATGAAACAAGTATTACTGTATTATTTAATTTGTTTATTAACGGACTTGCCATTTAGCTTTTACAATCTATCATAAATTACATTCAATGCACTAAAATACAACTACAAAAAATAGAATAGGATAATTAATAGATTCACCCAGCCTTTCCAGTAATTTGATACAATTTAAAGAATTAACTTTATAAGTCTCTTAAAACAAGCAAGATCGGTACAGAAAAGATCAGCACTACCACACTTTGAATTTGCCAGCCCACATATTCTGGACATAGGACTATTTAACCCATAGTTAGTTCTATGAAAATCTATTGCAAATAAGTCATGCTGACGGGTTAATCTTTGGGGTACTCTAATATTAATATTACTTAACAATTCAGGGCTATCAATCATGCCATTTACAATTTTGAACAAAGTAATTATATCAAATTGAGTCCTTCTAACTTCCAAAAGTGGTAAATTCAACTTTCCATACAAATGTTCATAATTAATGTCTTCCATGGGAATTCCCAATTTAAAATTTATAGTTCTCAAAAATCGTCTCTGAACCTTCTCCAAAGAATCTACATAAACATTATAATATGGAGACCAGGCTGGACTAGCATACTCCAACACTGACCTTACAAAACTACAATATAGTGTTCTAAAACACGTGACATCACGAAAATCAGCAAGTGTTCTATTTACAAAGCCTAACATTTTTATTGCTTTATTCCTCATATAATTTATATGGTAATCAAACCGCAGCTCACTGTCAATATAAACTCCAAGATCTTTTATAACATTTACTCTTTCCAGTTGCTCATCATAGATTTCATAATCAAATGGAATGTTCTGTTTTTTTCTAGATACGGTTAAGATCTTACATTTCTGAATATTCAATTCCATACCGTTTAACTTACACCACAGGCACAAGCTATTTAAGTCTTTTTGCAATTCA